GAGTAGGTTTAGGTCCATTGTCTTCCTTATCCACTGCAGGCCCACTACACACTGGCATCCCCACCTGCAACTAGTTCTTTCTGCTGGCCGGATGATTGCTTATGACTAACACTGCCACATTAGAAATACTTTGTGTTTCCAGAACTCATGCAAACAGCATAAAAAAATAATTTTTTTTTAAAATTTAACTATGAAAGATACCACCACAGTTTGAATATGATCTTTCAAATACAATAAAGGAACGTTTGTCTACATATAAACTGAATACGCGGTCTTCTGGCACCTTACCAGCAAATATGCACATTTTTAAAACCATTAGCAAATATGTCAAAACGAGTTGACTCTTTCTCCGGTTACTCATTAGAAATTAGTCAAGTCAACTTTATTTATAAAGCACATTTAAAACAGCAGCTGTTGCCAAAGTGCTATGTTAATGATGGGATGCTCGACACAGTAATATGTGTCACAGACACAAAGTGTGAAGACATGGCTTCAAGCCAATCATCCAATGCTAGTTCCATTTTAACTATCTGGTAAACCAGTCAAAGGCCACCACTACTTTATTAATCTGATAGCTATAAATGATGTTATCATGGCCAACCTGTTCTCCTGAAGCCAAAAACAAAATAAAAGTTCTATTGTTCTTGTTCCATTCCAAAAGAATCCATCCAGAGGACCTGACTCAACCTTGTTAGATGTATCTACCTGGGTTATTGAGCAGCATCAGGATGTCCATTGTCCAACATGGAGCAGCCATAAGTCTAATGTCATAACAGACGGGACACAAACTCTCACCAGGGAGGGGCACCATTTTAACGACTTCTATTAATCAATAAAATAACTGAACTTGTCTTAATTTTGAGTTAAGAACACCTTAAAACATCAAAGTTCATGCTCAGTAATCCAGGCAGAAAATCCAACAAAATTCAATCAGGTCAATCGGAACTTTTTATTTATTTTTTATTTTATTTTATTTTTTGACGTTTTGCCCTTCATCCTTTGGATTATGGGCAAAACATCTCCAAAAAACAAACAAACAAAAGAAACCGTCCAGATGACCTGACTTAACTTTGTTGGATTTTCTACCTGGATTACTGAGCATGAACTTTGATGTTTTGAACCACTTTGGCTATGGTTGCCTCAGAGGAGTCGACAAGGGGAGAGGGCGGGCCCCAGAAACCAGCTTATCACAGCAAACTGGTTGGTACACTATGGGAGTGTGCTGCTTGTGGGACTCAGTTTGTTTGTGGCTCCTCAGATTGATGAAGACCTTGGGATGAAGGACGAAACATCTCAAAAAACAAAAAATAAAGAAACCGTCCAGATGACCTGTCTGAACTTTGTTGAACAACTTAAAAGAGTGAAATAAATATGGAACAAACAATCAAAACTCTCAAACGCCACTTAACAACTCCATATGCTCAACTATCACTTTTACTCACTCGTGCCATCTCCCAGCATGCAGTGCAGAGAGAGAGATAGCAAGAAAGAGAGATGATATTAAGTGTTAATAACCCTTCCACCGAGTCCCATTTCTAAAGGTCATAAATTTTTTAAATTTGAAATTCCTAAAATTATTTTTTCTAAGTGTTTTTATAATAAAATATGTTGTTTTGTGTCAGCATCAGCAACCATGTGTATAAATATCAAGTTCAAAGCAAGTCCTCACCTAGCAGGTATCTCGATGTTGGAGATGGCGTAGAAGTATTTGAGCAGGTTGTCTCTCTGGACGTAGGTGCCTCCAAGGGCGGGCCGCAGCAGCCTCATCCTCAGGTTGGTGAAGGTGAAGAAATCCCTCAGGCCTTTCATGCTCTCCATGCGGGTGTACAGGTTGTCCATGTTCTGCAGCCGAGGTCCGGCGAACACGGCAAAGCGCGCCTTCACCTCGAACTTGACGTTTTTGTCATTCTTGGAGCCGACCCAACGCGAGTACTGCTCAGTGCAGATGACCCGTGTGAGGTTTGCAGGCGAAAGGTCACGCACCCGTTTTGGCTGCATGTTGAAGGCGTCCAGGCAGTCGTCAGCGTAGAACTGGTAGGGCTGCCAAGAGCGCCCGTGATCCATGGACTTATCCAGCACCATGATGGTGGGACGGCCATATTCGAACGTGATCTGCATGTCGTCCGTGAGCTCCAGACTCTTGTTCCAGGACATGGTGATGTTGGCCAGCAGGGGCTCTGGGTGGCGGCTCCAGGTGACGGTTTGCCAGTAAGTGATGAGGCCGTTGCGTTCACGGTCCTGCATCAGCTGAGGAGGGTGCGCTAAGTCCGGGTTAGAGGCGTCACACTCATCACTACACAAGTATGGGTTCTCCTATAAAAGGGAGAATGAAGACAGAGCAACAAGGAGTCAATGTTGTAGTTTATCAAACAGAATGCAAAGCAATAAAGCCGGTAAACACACTCAAACAGACTGATAGGCAAAATGAGGTAAAGTTAAAATAATTGGTAAAACTTTGTTAAAATTAGTAAACTTAAATTTTCCACATAGAAAGAGCATGAATCAATGTTCTCAATGCCTTTAAGAAGGCCTTAAAAGTAAAGTTGTAAAACAGCCCAACAGGAAGTGTGAAGGTCAGGGGTGTTGTGCATCATCACTATCTTTGTACGACCAGCAAAGTGCTGCTGCACTTTTAACTCCGAGAGAATTGATCCTCCTCGTCTGGTGATGCCAAGCCTTTCAGCCTGATGCCCTGCTCCAAAAGCAAAAGTCAACAGGATTACTCACAGAGCTCTACAAGCCTCTTTCCACCTGCTCTGAGAAATGCCTTTCGCTCTGATCATAGATCTGCTTTGTCTGGAGGCTAGATTCATCATCCACTTACTCAGATTTGCAAAGTCCAAAGTACAGCAGCTCTGTCGCCGTGCTTAAACAGAACTGCTAAATGTTTATTCCAGCTGCACCGTGGTGACAAATCTAATCAGGGAATGGATTGTGTTCAGGAACAACATTTGCTGCGACAGGTTCACTCCATGCCAGGATAAAAGGGAGGTAGCTGGAAGGCCCGCGGAGCTCCAGGCTTCCAGGGTTCACGTGGCTGACTGTTGTGAGCCAGTTGTCTGACATCCCCATCACAACAGAAGTGAAAATATTTGCACAAAGAATTCCCAGAGATCTGCACTTATCTCTCGGTGCCTAATTTGCTAAATTCGGCTCTTGTGCTGTTTGGATTGTATCACGCACAGAAGGCTCATCATTTGCCCTCAGGAAAAACTAATTACACTGATAAGACTTATTATCTTCTTCTGGTTTTATTTACAGTGTATTAAATCAGACTTTAGGGTTTTTCTTCAATGTAATAAAGTTTTTGATACTTTAAACTCACATTGACGCTTACATTACTGCATACATTTAAAGTTCACACATTTTAGTTTCATTACTGTCATGCATTTTGAACAAAAGTCACTGAGTATCTGTAAAATACTGTTTGTCTCTTGACATCGTTTTCAGTGTTTCTGCACTTGTAAGAATTGATTCTTCTGCTGTTTTTAGTGAGAATTCAATAGAGCTTGTGAATTTACTGCATTAGTCTCAACAAGCTTTTGTTAGAGCAGAAAGTATAAATAGCTTTCTTTTTTCCAGCCCTCCCTTCACCTCCTTCTCCTCTGTTTCCTCTTTAATTTTTATTTTCTTGATATTAAAGCTTTTTTTTTTAACTTGTGATGACAGTGTTTAAAAATGTCACCCTGACATGCTGTTTGACAAGGTGATAGTAATTGTGCTGACAAAAAGAAACAACACAAACAAAAATAAGTCATAACTACATTTCTTGAAGAAATGTTCAAAAATATAAAAAATATATTAAAATAAAAGGAGAAAAACTTGAAAGTTGTTCGGTTCAAACTAAAACCTGCATGTGACAATCTGACATAAAAGTATTTAAAAATATATTAATCAATAAAGTATTTGGTTTTTAGTGATTAAATGACACCAAAGAGTCGGTTCAGTGTAGATGTGAGGGAATTAAAGTTTTATGTATTAATAATAAATGTATTAAAATAATACATTTATTATTTATGTATTTATTGATTGATTTACTGTAATTAGATAAGAAAGTACAATGGACTGCATAAACGCAACATAAATTATGTAGGTTGTAAAATTGTATTCAAATGATATAAATTGTATTATTGAGAAAGGTCTGTTATTAACAAAACAAACACCCTAGTGGATCAGGAAAATATATATTTTTTATAAATGTAGATATTTAAAAGCTTTACGGGACTTAACTGCTCCCTTTTATGTTAAAAGTTTAAATTTGAATTATGATTATGATTACTATCTATCTATCTATCTATCTATCTATCTATCTATCTATCTATCTATCTATCTATCTATCTATCTATCTATCTATCTATCTATATATCTATATATCTATCTATCTATCTATCTATCTATCTATCTATCTATCTATCTATCTATCTATCTATCTATCTATCTATCTATCTATCTATCTATCTATCTATCTATCTATCTATCTAG